TCTTTACAAGCCCTTTGACAGTTTTTATAATACTGGTTTGGTGGTAACAAACTCTGTTAGCTTTGTCTTGTCTGGGAAGCTCTTTTATTTATCCTTCAATATAAAATGATAGACTTGCTGGGTAAATAAGCCTTTTTTGTAGGTCTTTGCTTTTCATTTGTTTCAATATTTAATGCCAGTCCCTTCTGGCCTGAAATGTGTCTGTTGAGAAATCAACTGACAGCTTTATGGGAGCTGCCCTGTAGGTAACTAACTCTCTTTCTCTTGTGACTAAAGATTTTATCTTTGTATTTAAACGTGGCCATTTTAATTATGATGTGCCTTGGTATGGGCTTCTTTAGGTCCATCTTGTTTGGACCTCTCTACGCTTCTTGGACCTGTGTGTCTTTTTCCTTCACCTGGTTAAATTGGTTCTTGATCCCTTGCTTGCTCTCTTTTTGTTCTGGTATCCCTGTGATGAAGATACCAGATTTTGTTGCACTTCATGTTGTCCCCAAGGTCCCTTAAACTATCTTCATTCATTTTATATTTTGCTGCTCTGATTGGTGTTTTTTCTACTCTGTCTTCCACATAGCTGATTTGATCTTCTGTTTTATCCAACCTGTTTATTCCTTTCAGTGTATTCTTGATTTCAGATATTTCATTTTTCATTTCTATTGGCCTTCTTTTATGGTTTATATATCCTCTTACAAATTATTGAGCCTCCTTATAGTCATTACTGTGAACTCACAGTCCTGAGAGAGAGGTCTTATGTAATAAGGTGTCTTTTGGCACAGTCTCCCTGATCACCTGTGCTGGGTGCTTTAGGAATGTTCCTTGTGTGGGTTATGTTGGCCATGCTTTTGTAATTGAGTCTTGATTGCTCTTTTGTGCATTGATCTAAAGCTGGCTGATTGTGAGGTTCAACCTCCAACATGGCATGCAAGATGCTGTACAGGTGCTGAGCATATAAAGCAGAATTCACCTCAGCAGGCTTTTGTGCCTGTTGAGATCTCCCTTTGGAAGTGCTGCTTGAGAAACTTATTGGATCCTGCTCTGTCGTCTGAAGCTGGCCACTGAGTTTATTGGTCTGGGCCTCTTGGGGGTGACTCTGAAATAGGCTAATGGCAGGTGCCGTCTGTGACTAGCTCTGGCAACCTTTTGGAACTATCAATGATCCACATATTGTGACCACCTCTGCTAGGCCTGGTGCATGTGGCAAGAACCAAGCTGTGCACCAAGTCCGCCTTTTTACTACCACTGGGCCTGGAGGCAGGTCTCCAAAATCTCAAAGCACCCGGAGTTCCACCTCTGCTTTCCCCTGCAAGTTGTCTGTTAGACTCAGTCCCCGAAAGAGCCTTTGGCTTTACTCGTCAGCAAGTAGAAGCTTCACCGGGTGGGGTAAGAGGGATCCCAGAGGGCTGGGCTATTGCTCTCCCCACCTCCAGCTGATGCCACATGGAGGCATGTGCTCTGCCTGAGAAAGATGGCTTCTTCATATGTTTTTATGTTGCTGATTAATGTCTTTTCATTTAAGCTTGAAGAACGCCTCTCATCATTTCTTGTAAGGCAGGACTAGTGTTGGTAAATTCCCTTAGATCTTGTTTTTCTGGGAAAGCCTTTATTTTTTCATTTATATTTGAAAGATAACTGCTGGAAAGTATTCTAGGCTGGCAACTTCTATCTTTCAACTCTTTGAATATACATTTCACTTTATCCTGGTTTATAGAGTTTCTGATGAGAAATCTGCTGCTAGTTTAATGGTGGTTACTTTATAGGTTACTCATTTTTTTCTTTGCTGTCTGTGAGAGATTATCTCTCCTTTTTAAAAATAGATCTTTATTGCTCAGATTATTACAATTGTTTCTTCTCCCCCTCCCAATAGTTCCCTCCCCACCCTCTGTCCTTACCTGCCCTTCCCCCCCATTGTCCTCATCCATAGGTATATGATTTTAATCCAGTCTCTTCCTGCATCCCTCACACCCTTTCCCCCCTGATAATTATCAATCCCCTCCCTTTCTTTGCCCCTGATTCTATTATAATCACCAGTTTATTCTGTTCCTCAGATTTTTAATTCACTTGATTTTTAGATTCACTTGTTGATATATATGTATTTGTTGATCATAATTTTTATCTTTTTTCTTCTTCTTCCTCTTCTTAAAGAATACCTTTCAGCATTTCATACAATACTGGTTTGGTGGTGATGAACTCTTTTAGCTTTTTCTTATCTGTGAAGCTCTTTATCTGACCTTCACTTCTGAATGATAACTTTGCTGGATACAGTAGTCTTGGTTGTAGGTTCTCACTATTCATCACTTTGAATATTTCTTGCCACTCCCTTCTGGCCTGCATAGTTTCTGTTGAGAAATCAGCTGATAGTTGTATGGGTGCTCCCTTATAGGTATCCAACTGCTTTTCTCTTGCTGCTTGTAAGATTCTCTCTTTGTCTTTTGTCCTTGGCATTTTAATTATGATGTATCTTGGTGTGGTCCTCTTTGGATTCCTCTTGTTTGGGGGTTCTGTGCACTTCCTGTCCTTGTAAATCTATTTCTTTCACCAGGTGGGAGAAGTTTTCTGACATTATTTCTTCAAATAAGTTTTCAGTATCTTGCTCTCTGTCTTCTTCTGGCACCCCCATAATTCTGATGTTGGTAACTCTTGAAGTTGTCCCAGATGCTCCTTACACTATCTTCAACTTTCTGGATTCTCTTTTCTTCTTGCTTCTCCAGAGGAGTGTCCTTTGCCTCTTTGAATTCCAAATCTTTGACTTGATTCATGAGTTCCTCCAGTCTGCTGTTGGATCTCTGTATAATATTTTTTTATTTCAGTTTATGTTTAATTTCTAGGTGGATCTCATTAAATTTATCGGCCTTTTCTAGGAAATTCTTAAAAAACCTTATAACTGTGGTTTTGAACTCTATATCCAGTCTTTTGTTCTCCTCCATTTCTTTTGTTTGAGATCTCTTTCCTTGTCTCAGCATTTTTGCTGCTTCCCTGAGTTGGTAGGGTGGCTTTGTGTGCTTGGTGTCCTATATGGTCTGGCAGGTCAGCCTCCCCAGTTACCTGAGGTAGACACTCTTGGTGCTCCCCTTTGTGGACTGCGTGTACAGCCTTGTTGTAGTTAATACTTGATTGTTGTTGGTATCACTGGGAGGAATTGACTCCCAGGCCCACTGGATGTGAGTACCAGTTGTGTCTACACCAGGATACCTTTTGTATTGGAGACAGTCTTATAGGGTCAGACTTGAAAAATTGCAAAAGCCTGTGCTTGGCTTGGATGGGGCATAGTTTCAGGGCTGAGTTGACAGTCTTGGCTTCCTGTCAGCCCTGCCCTTATGCATATGCCTCAGACCTCTGCCTTCAGTGACTCTCCTGAGTTTCCGCCTGACCGTCCCAGATTCCCCATGCAAAAGCGTGGGTGCCCCAGGGGTTCGCCTGGAATTGGGTTGGGTCTCTGTAATCTGGAGCTTCTGACTCCTAACGCTACGGAGAGGCCGAGTCATCCTCCGCGGTCAGACCTCTCTGTGAGCGCATGACTGTAGACCCTGCCCGCTGCGGCTCCAGGCTCCCCCGGTCTCCCAGTCTCTGAGTCTCTGGGTGCCTTTCTCTACAGTCCAGACTCCACCCGTATGAAGGTTTTGGCTGGGCTTGGGGTTCAGGGCAGTCGGAAAGGATTCAGTGCAATTGGGTACTTCCTTTCCCCTCCCGCCAGCCAGGCATTCGGCCGCCCTTCTTGTCTGCACAGGAGCGTCTCTCTACCTCAGTGCTTTGTGGCTCCCAATTTGACCTGTGAGCCTCTCCTTTCTAGTTGTAGATTTCCCACTCTGCCAGCTTTCCTGTGGCTTTGGATGATGTCCGTTCTGTCTTTTAGTTGTTGTTTTGAAATTGTTGTGCTAGGCGGCAGCTTACTAAGGTGCTTACTGAGTTTGCCATCTTGGTTTCTCCTGAGATTATCTCTTTATCATTGGCTTTTAATGGTTTCATTGCATTGTGTTTTGGAAAGTCTTTTTGCATTGAGGTATGGATTTGTATGTCCAATTCCTTCCCAGGGTTTGGGAAGTTCTCAGCTATTATTTCTTTAAACTCTCTGTCCCCATCTCCTTATCTTCTTCTGGTACACCAATTATTTTCATATTTGCATTTTTGATAGAATCTGATGGCTTTTGTGGAGTTTCTTCACTTTTAAAATATCTGTTTGCCATCCTTTTGTAACTGAATTATTTTTATATTCCTATCCTCCAAGTCATTTATTCTTTCTTCCATTTGGTTTGCCTTGCCACATACTAGTATACACTCTATTGCTTCCTTCATCTTACTTATGATGTTTTCAGCACTAGAATTTATTTGGTTCTTCTTTATAATTTCAGTTTCTTAGGTAAATAACTTCATCTGTTAATTGATTTCATTCCTGAGTTCATGGAATTGGTTTTCTTCTAGCTCAGTAAATTTCTTTATAACAGAATTTTAAATTCTTTATGAGGTAGAATGTAATATTCTATGCCTCAGAGTTTGGTTGCTGAAAAATTATTATTCTCTCTTTTTTGTGATACTTATTTAATTTATTTTACATAATATTTAATGATATGTGCTTCTGTTGCATTTGAAGTAGCAAACACATCCTAATTAAGAATTTATATTTATTTTGTTTCCTACAATTTAGTCTGGCAATTGGAATTTTTTTTTTTTGCCTGTCAATGTGGAAAAATGAAGACATATGTAATACTTTCAATAATAACGATTAAAAAAAGAAGAAACCTTTTTTTTTTTTTTTTATACTACAAGGTGATGCTATAACTAATTTGTGGTATTTCATCCAGGATCTGGCTCTGGGGCTGCACTTGGGAACACACAGGAGCTTTTAGCAGAGTTGGGGGAGGTATGGCTTAACACCTCGCTGGCTTTGGAGAGTGTCCGTAGGCTGGCAGGGGGTCCTTGGTTGGGGCACTCCCAGGGGTCTGTAGCCCAGCAGCCACCTCTTTCACTTCCTGTCTGACAAGGTCATGCCCCTGCTTAAGACCCACCAGTGACTGGCCATATCTGCTTGACCATCAAAGTCATTACGACACCTTTCAAAGGAAGACCCCAGGAATGCTGTCCCCCATAACTCTTTTTTTTTAATGTAAAAGAAATGTTTTATTTATAAGTGGATAACACATTCAAGGGAAAATAAATAAAAACATGACAGGCCAAAATCCCCTATAACTCTGGTGGCTCTCTTCCCCTTATTTTTCATTCTGCTCCAACCTCACTTGCTTTCCTACAGAGTCTGAAAATATTTCTACGCCAGAGTGGCTTACTTATTGTCCTTTTTGCTTGAAATATTTTCCCTTCAGATACCTGAATGGCTAATTAATTCACCTCTTTCATGACCTATCAATTGCTGAGAATAGGATGTTGAGTTCACCAGCTTTAATTTTGAGTTTTTCTCTCTTCAGTTTTATCAGTTTTCTCTCCAATGAATTTTGAAACTCTTGTTTGGGACATAGGGATTTCTGGGTCCACTTGGTGTGTTGATTGTTCTTTGAATAATTATGTAATGTCGCTGGTAAATTTTTGCTTTGAGGTGTACTTTATGTGATATTAATATAATTGACAGCCGGCAGAGGACATTTGGGTGATTTCTGAGATGTTGTCATAGTTGATGGCTTTAAATTCTGCCTTTTCATTCCCTCTGAAAGACAAGTGAGGAAACGCACCATCATGGGGGAGAAGAGGGGAAGGTCCTGACAGTCCCAGCCTGGCTCAGCAGTTGGAATTGCATTTGTGCCTCACATTCCCCTAAATTCGTCTGGATTTTCAGCGAACAATTTGTCTCATGAGCAGTAGCAGCTGCCCAGATGCAATCATTTTCCTCAGAAGTGGTTGTGGAAGTGAGAACAATATAGATAGCTTGGTAAGTCAGACCATAGTTTGAGCTAAGTATTTAAATTCTTTTGTAAATTTGGTTGGATCATTCCAGAAGGAGCCTAATCTCTTCTCTGTTTGTTCGAGATCCGAGAAGGAAAGCGGGAGGTGGACCCTCATGCCCTGCCATCCTGCCACCTCCCTGAGGGGCACTGACCCGAGGGAGAGGGAGCTTTGGTCTCAGGGGGAGGGGACCCCAAGACCATGCATGGGGATCGCCTGGAGGTTTGAGTGGAAGTGATGGGCTCTGTTGGTGCAGGGCACAGCAGGATAAAGATGGGGCCTAAAAGAAGTGGAGAAGTGAGGGGGGCAGAGGGTGAGGCTGAGGAAGAAGAAGGTGAAGAGGGGCTTACATATGGAGGCAGAGCAGTCCGAAGGTCAAAGGAAGTGACATTATCAGGGAAGGGGGATCATCGGCTGGTGTGTATAAATTACCGGAGGGAATTACCGGAGGGAATTACCGGAGTCTTAGGAGGCTTTTCCTTGAGAAGAAGGATCTGGAAAGAGGAGATGGACTGACAGAGGGAAGGATGAGATCAAAGTGTCCAGAAAGCCTGGACATGTGGAGCCTCTGGCCACTTGCCTTTACGCTGAATGAAATTGTCCAGATCAGTTACAATTTGGAATCGAAAGGCCGTGTTCCAGCCAATGGCTCTGCCTATCTAAGGATGTGGCCAGGCCAATTTGGGAAAAAATGACATCGTGACAATTTTGAGTCTTCCTATCCATTAGCATGCAATATCTTTTAATTTATTGAGTTCTACTTTGATTTTGTTGTGTTATTAATTTTTGTTTTTTAATTGGTACATTTAGATCAACAGTATTTTTAAAATGGGAACACGAAGGTTTGTTGTTTGCCTGAGCATTATTAAAGGCAAGTACCAACGCAATTTATTCCGGGAGAAGAAGCCACAAAAGGCTTTCTAAGTGCTGCTCCTAGTCCTTACTCTGAGCGACAGGGAGGGTCCAAGCTGAGGTCTGATAAACGTTACCGAGAGGGCACAGGTCAACCTCTTTTGTCTTCCACTCTATTTGTGTTTCCCTTGTTCACACTGTGCAGTCTGTCCCTCCTAACACTCATATCTTCTCATTTTATTTTCTCACCTTTCCTGCTTTGGAATTTTATTTTGTGACCCTGTAGCTTCAGATTGAAATATAAATTTCTTAATGTGTTATTTCCTTGGTCTTTCCTGACTCCTGACCCCACATGTTTGCCAGCATTGTGTCCTTTTGTTTCTCGTCCATAACCTAATTCTCTAAACAAACGAACACCTTTGCTTTCTCTGTTCTTGACACATTGATTCCTGTTCCTATGGGCCTCTGACTTACCAAAGCCAAAATTAAAAAGAAATCAACCTCCCACCCCTAATCCCAAACAACTGTAGCTTGAAGAAGTGCGAGGACACATGGAGGAAAAGAGAAGGAAAGGAACCTGCCTCTCTGGGGTCAGTGTTGTTGGATGCCCACAGACAAAGGAACCCCATGGAATAGGACCAGAGGAAACCCAGACAGACAATGAACTTACCGGCTGTTACCGGAGTGAGTGCTGAAAAAGAAAACAAAACCAATTGTTATCTTTCCGAATTATGTAGTGAGCACTCATTGATTAGCAATGCACCCGCCCTTTTGCTTTGTGTGTGTGAGCTCCTGGTTCATAGGTCTACGCTCAACCACTGAGCCACACAGGTGAGGCCTTCCCTCCCAACCAATCGATATCATGAAAATTGTTTTATTCTGTATTTAAATTATTCCTAAGGGCACATCTCTGGAATGGAATTATAAATTTAAAGGATACTGTATTCTATGTATTTTGCAACATACTGCAAATTTCATTTCTGAAAGGGTTAGATTAATTTAAGCAGGATCAGTGATGTACAAATGTATAAGTTTTAGCAAAGCATTGCTCATATTTGAATTTTTTCTTCACTAGGTAAAAAATATTACATCAGGGTCTTAATTTTCTGTTTCTTATTCAAATTTTGTTGTTGCCACTCACTGGCCATATTATAGTTTGTGAATTCTTTAGTAACTTAAGTGTACTATATAATAAGTGCAATATGTAATAATAAGTGTACTATATAATATAATTGTCCAGGGCTGGACAATGTGAGCATGAAATCCTCTCCATCAGGGAAAATGTTTAAAGAACACTGGGATTAGGAAATAGATGAAAAACAACTTACCAATAGGTATTGTAACTGCAGAACACCATGAAATAAAAACATATTAGCGGAGTTTTCGGATAAAAGACTTACATATATATACATCCCTTTCTTATTCTTTCCAAAGCACTAACAGAAAAAGCACTGGAGGACCCCAGACATCCCCCAGGAAGACGGAGTGGTTAGCATTGGCTTTGTGGTGGAGGAAGAGCCCAGTCTGATGGGTCGGGCTTCCGTGTATTTCAGCGTGGAGAAAGGCACCGGGAGCTAGTGCACCTGTGCTCAGGCCATCCTCCTTCTGTCTGACCTGCTACGGAGGATTTGCATTTTCAAACAATTACAAACTTGAATGCTAATTGCAAGTGACCTCTCTCCTCTTCCCACACCACACATATCTTCCTCTATTCCTGTTGGCATCTCCACATTTATTATATCCCACCCTATGTATCTTTCTTTCTTGCAGAATGAAAAGCTTGTTATTAAGAGCTCTTTGACATTTTTTTTTTTTTTAGAAAACAAAGTATTTTTTTTAAACTTAGTCTTTTAACCAGATGTTTATTATTTCCATTGAATAATTAATAACTCATCCAGTTGCCAAGTAAGAGGGACAGGGAATATTTATAAGTAAAAACATTAAATGGAATTGGTCAGGATTAGAAAAAAGTTTCTCCAGTTTTTTGGGATTCCCAGTTTGTACCACATTTAAGAAAGAAAAAGCAACTTACTGATAGGTACTGCCACATGTGCTAGAATCCAAACACATTATTAGTAAGGGTTGACACTGATAACAGAATTGACATTGAAAATACAAGTCTTACTGATACTGCTTCCAGAAAGGAATTTCTGGAATGAAAAGGATTTCTGGAATGAAAAGCCTTTTACCTGAGTTATTTGGTCTCTTTTCTAGTAGGATAGTCACTTTGAAAGGGCGGGAGGGAGGTCCGTTATTGCCCTTTTATCTTCCAGCTTCTCTCAGAAATTGAAATACCACAGACTTGGAAAAACCTCCTTTCCTTTAAACTTTGCTTCTTTCTCATTCTACTCCCTTTTCTCATTGCTAACTTTCACAAGTTTTTCCTTGTCATCTCTGCCTTACATTTTGTTGAAAAGTTAACAGGCCAGTCCTGGGAGATTTTCATCCCACTCATAATTATTTCTGTCAGTCAGTTCCATGTTTCAGGTGCTAGCTAGTAACCGGAGAGGGAGAAGTGGCCCACCTGAGAGCCAGATGAGTGAAGGCCAGCAGTGCCAGCACAGCTGCAAGTGAAGGAAGCTTCCCTCTTGCTGCTGCTCCTCAGTCACTCTACTCTGTCCTTACAAGTGCTTTTCCACCTGGAAAATCTCATTCGTCTTTAGAGGGACATTTTAACTGACTAGGAAAAAACCATTCATTTGCCCCCCCAATAAGCTTTGTGGTCTATGCTTCGTATAAATTATTAAATATTCTAGCAGAACTTTGGGGAAAGAGTATAAGAAATAAAAATGTCAATCTTTCCTTTGAAACAAAAAGCCCATAGTAGGTGCATATAGAAATATCAGGTAGAAAGTGAACGTCTTAGGCATCATTAAAGTAGACATAATGTGGCTTTCATTGATAGCGTTCAGAGCGTGAAGACAGACATATATTGTCAAGTAACTACCAAACGTATTTTTCAGACGCAACAGCTCCATTTCTAGAAGTAGAATAGATCAACTACTTTTTCTTCCTATTCTCCTCAACCTCTGTGGATGAGAAACATGTCAGAAAGGTTTAAATTCACATGTAAGCTCTGAGAGTGTCTTCTCTTTTGGTCTTTGCTGTATTCCCAGTGCCTGGCACATGGTAGGCTCTCAGTAAACGTATTTTAAAAAAAAATACTATATCAATTACTTTAACTTTGCTATTTTATTCCTATTTATGTCATCTCCTACATTTCTATTTCCTACCAAAAGCATTTATAAGCTTTAATAACAAAAATATTAACAGCTAACATATTTTTCCATAGATGACAA